CAAGACAAACGGGAAAGGTGGAGGGAATATGTTGAGGAACTGGTTGATGACAAAAGAACAGAAATACAAATCGAAAATATATCGACTGGTCCAAACATAACCTTCAATGAAATAAAAAGAGTTACACAACTATCAAAGAATAGGAAAACAACCGGTACAGATGAAATTCCCAGAGAAATAATCAAACTACTCGACGATAAATGTAAACGTTCCCTTTTAAAACCTCTTCAATAAAATATATAAAACAGGACATTTACCAACAAACTGGTACCAACGCTAAACAATGTAGCGATCATCGCACTATCAGTCTAATTAGCCATGAACAGAAAATTTTCGTACGAATACTGCACTCGAGAATTTACAATAAAATATAAGTACAACTAGGCGAAACACAGTTTGGTTTCAGAAACAATCTTGGAACCAGAGAAGCATTATTTAGTTTGCAGGTCCTGATTCAAAGATGTAGGGATATAAAAGATTTATTGACTTTAAAGAAATAACAAAAACAATAAAAATTCGAAAGTCACAATATTTCGGTAATGTAATGAGACATCCCGAGATAGCCGGAAGACGTGGCCCAGGCCGAAGAAGAATATCCTGGCTCCGAAATCTCTGAGAGTGTTATCAAGAGACATCCGCTAATCACTTTCGAGTTGCCTACGTTCGATAATCAAACAGGGAACTAAAATAAGAAGAACTCTTTTAGTGTCTTCTACAATGCTTGTTTATATGGTATTCGTAATGTTTCCGAATTGTTTCCTATTACAATTTTTAAGATTCTTCCTTAATGTTTTTTTGGCGATATTTTCCATATTCTGTAAATTTATTTTCTTTGTAACGTCTGTTATTCTCAAATAACAAAAGTTACAACGAAATTAACGAGTTATTCTCAAAAGTCATTTTTTATCACGACATAAATTAACAAACATTTTACCTATAAAAATTGAGGTTAGGTTCATTTGTATCTGTTTGTATTTGTGGTATATCTCATAACTTTACCTCTTCCTCAAAATATCGCACTGGACGTCTCCACAGATGCACTGGTCAGTCAGCAGCAGTATCAGACACTCATTTAAAATCTATGAAGAGGTGGTAGGTATCGATATTGAATTCGTGGATTTTTTCCAGTATCTGCCTCAGCACAAAAATCTGGTCCGTTATTGATGGACCAGACCTAAAACCACTTTGATATTTGTCAATAATGATCTTAGTATGGCTAATATTACAGATGAGTATAAAAATTAGGGATAGTTGATCAGACTCAAAGTGCACTTTTTCTATAAACATTTTTTTTTTCTAAAAAACTTCGTCTACATGAGTAAAAAGAAGATGAAATTATTGTTGCTATGGCCAATTTGAGCCTCGAATTGTACTATTAGTTTGATGTTGTCACCGGGTGACAACATCGATCTTCCCAACATTCACATCTATACGTGAATGGGAGAGAAAAAACGTGAGTTGTGAATGGGGGAGAGAAAGTCAGAATTTTGTTGGAATATTAGCCATACCACACTTAGGAGGATACCTTCGCATGTTATTAGCTATATTATGGGAACGGTTCTTGGATGAGCAATTTTGGCTTGCAGCTTATTAGTACCTACTTACGATATCTTAGTGGTGTTGCTTCAGAAAGTTGGTTTCTAACCAAGTTGAGAAATTTGTTTGGTAGAAATTGAACTTTCTTTTTAGGAAGGCTGGCGAGTATGCACCCTAGGCGGTGGCATGGAGTTTTTAGGACCTCTTTTGCTCTGATATTGGAGCGTTTTATTGTGCGTTAGACGTACTTTTTGCCGAGAGAGCAGATTCTACCCTCTGTGGGGATGTTAGCAAGTTGAGGAATTAATAGGATTCCCAGGATTAATAGGATAATGAGGAATTCCCGTAACTCTTCTTAATATGTTTAATTCAGTTGTCATTATGGAATTGATTTGGGGTGATTAAGGGATGCGTAAAGTACCGCTTTATATTCAACTATTGCCATCATGTAAGACTTGCATGTGCGTAGGACAGATTTAGGTTGCGTGCTATCGTATTTATAAGACAGAGCTCGGAGATTTTGTTTTCGCAATCTAGGGCGTTTTTTATGTTAGTGTTCCAGTTGTGATTCTTCGAAGATTTAATACCTAATACACCGAATATTTGAAAGAGAGTATTTCTCAATACAGTAATAACTGGTTATCCTTCTCTTTGTATTAAAAAGTAAATATCTCTCTCTCTCTCCTCTCTCTCTCTCTCTCTCTCCTCTCTCTCTCTCTCTCTCTCCTCTCCCTCTCTCCCGTTTTTCACAAAAACTCAGATAAAAAATAGCGCCCAGTTATTTTTAGATTTTTTAATTGATTTTTCGGCTTCATTTCATGGGTAATAAATAGAAACACTTATAAATTAATTCAATTTAATTATTTATTTCTTTGAATAAAAAAAACAAATAATCAGTGTTATTTGTTGATGTAGATAAATGACTTCATTGATTTATACAGTTGTATAATTAATTATTGTATTATTGTTTATTTAATATTAATTCCACTTGTATAAAAACCGATAGCATTTTAATCATAATCATAATAAGATTTAACTTGTTAATATTGAGCCACAACTTTTGTCACAAGTTAAAGCTTAAAGTGTTGCCTATAGTTTAGTTATATTCATGTCCGAAATTTTCTGATAGATAAGAAATGAGTAAAATATTTATGTACTAAAACTCAAATATATATACCAATTCATATACAAAACATTTATATTTGTTGGTAAAATTAATTTTAGAGGGTAATCTATTCGAGGATATACAAAAAATGTGAGGATATCAGTGGCGTTCGAGTTCGGATTTATCGGAAGGTTTGGAGCAAGAGAAGCAATGCGTTCTTTAAAGTTGCTTATTTAAAAGTGTTATGAACAAAGTCATGATCTTTTAATATGCTTCATTTACTATTTAATATGCCTTTGCTAATGAAAGGCATGAGCTACTTTTAGAATGATTACAGAAAATCGGTATTGAGGATAAGCATATAAGAATAGGAAAAGAACTGGATTGGGACCGATCAGCGGAATAATGATCTTTTAACTGACACTAAAAAACGAAATATATGCTAATTATAAAAAGACCACAAAATATATACAACAAAATGGTAATGTCGTAGATTTAAGTAAAAAATATCAGTACTTTGGAACTTTGATCAATGAAACCAATGATTTTACTGCAGAAACAAATAGGTGAATAGAGATTTCCAGATTTGCATTTATACGAATGAAGCCACTCCTAACGTACGGAAATATTACTTAAGGTTTTTATTTGGCAAAAAAATCTTTGGATATCAATGAAACAAACAAAATATTCATTAGTAAAATAAACTATACTGAGAAAAATCAAGTTAAAGTATATCATATCTTTATTCAGGACCCCTATTCACTAACTTAAGTGAGTGGTCGTGTAGGAGTTCTCTCTCACAATTTTGCTTTAATGCGCATGTCACTCTCCTGAAATTGTAAAATCCGTATTCACGAAAATGTAAGAGAACGCTCATATAGTCCTATGCGAGTACTCTACTACTCTACTGAGTAAAACTAAGAGAATTGCTAAATTTTAAGAGAATGGACATGCGCCGTAGAAATTATAGATGACAGAAGGCCAATAAAGTGAAGGAGATTGTATATTGTATACAATACATACTGTTTATATGAAAGAAAGGTTATTGAAATTTTAAAAAGGTTGTTGACTTCTATTTGTATTTGGTTTTTATATATTGTTTTTTTAATGGATGATGACGATATAATAATGTTAATGTTAATCGCCGATGTTGAAGAGGCGGAAGAACAAGCTGAAAATAATATACCACGTCTCTATTTCCAACGGAAAGACCATTTTTTGATGTTATCTGAGGTGAATTTTATTAAACATTTCCGTCTCAATACAGACAGCTTTATATATATCTTTGCGATGAACTAACGCCATTTTTCAAGTTCGCCAAACAACATCTGGTTTGGATATTAAAACAAAGGTAATAACTTTAATTTTACTTGATACAGTTAGGTGTCTACTTATTATATTTTTGAAAATGACGAAATATTATTTTTAGCTGTTAGTGACCCTTTTATTTTATGGCCAAGGCAGCTACCAAGCAGTGACAGGTTCCAATTTTTTTTGTGGAATGAGTCAAAGCAGTGTTTGTCGATGCATTGAAGAAGTTACCAACGCTTTAAATTGGCCAGAATGCATTAGTAGATGGATCACTTTTCCACGAAATATTGAGGAACTATCGCAGCGGAGAGCAAAGTAGAAGTAAATGGAACTACCTTTAAGTTTCATTGGAATTTTTCTATCACACAACACACCACTTGCTTCTTTACATTTCATGGATGTATTTCCATTTATTTCTCTATTGCTTTGCAGTGTTGACCAAAAATACCTAAAACTATTAGTTTTTGAAACTATAAACTACATATACACTTTTCTCCTTACCAACGTGTGCATTAAAATTACCTCCAGGTATTACTCCCCCTTCTGCTGGTAAGTCTGGAACTATATCCCTAATTGATCATAAAATGCTTTTCTTTCGTCATCACCCAAACCTACTTACGAAACATACGCACTACATTCAGCAATTCCTCATTCACGACAAATTTACAGACATTATTCGGTAACTCGTTCTTACAACTTCTACTACTTTTTCTTTCATTTCGCTATCAGCAATTATGCAAACTCCATTTCTGGTGCTGCTTTTCCTTACACAATTTTTAACCCTCATCCAACTCATTCGCTCTCTCACCTTTCCACTTTGTCTCTTGAATACAAGCAATGTGTACCCTTCTTCTCTTAAGTGCATCCACTAAGTCCATACTTTTACCTGTTAGGCTTCCTACATTCCAACACCCTATCCTAATTTTACTAACCTGCAATGGTGTTCCCCCTGAACTTAATTTAAGCAATACAACGATAAATAAATAAATGGTAGTAGACTGAAGGTAGGTAGGTAATAAAATAGTAAAACAATATATAAATTATGTATTTACATTTTTAGTTGTCTCGACCATACATTTTGAAATCTTTCTGACCGTAGGTGAGCCCTCATTTTTAGCCCATCTATTAAATTTTTGTTTTTATAGTAGGCTGCTTCAATGTCATTTTTTTGCTTCATGGAAGCTAGATGTGGCTGACTTAAGGCAAGTGAAGTTTGTAGCCGAGCAGTCTTCGATATTTTTCTCGGTGGTTGAGGTGTACCTTTTCCTTTTTTTATTGGATATTCCAACGTGTAGTTGTGTTCCTTGTGGACCTGCAATAATAAAGTATATGTTACAAACTCTCAACACCCATTTTTTAGTTGATTTGACTATTACCCCATTGTTTTTCTCTTCAGTTTCGGTCAGAATATTTTGCTCTATTCTTTCCTAGAAAGAAATTAATAATAGGTACTTTATTCTAAATAATTTTAAAGAGAAAAAGTTACCTTTTCACTATCCATCTCAGCAATATCATATATAACATTCTTAAGAGGAGTTTCTGTAGAAGGCAAGCTCTAAAACATATTTGAACAAAAAATTAGTTTTAAAATATCATTTTACACTAATGACTAATTTTAAGGAAACTCCAATTTTACTAGAATATATAATACAACGAAACATTTAGTATAAGGTTTAAAAGCGGCACGGAATGTTTCATCAAATTTTATTTTATTCATCATCATCATCATTCAGCCCATACTCGTCCACTGCTGAACATAGGCCTCCCGTAGTTCACCCCACAAATTTCTGTCCTGAGCCGCCTGCATCCAATTTTGATGTGTCTGTTTCAGGTCATCCGTCCATCTTGTTGGTGGTCGTCCTCTATTCCTAAAGGCATCTTGTCTGGGTCTCCACTCAAGAATGCGTTTTGTCCATCTGCCGTCCTTCGTTCTCGCGACGTGCCCTGCCCAGTTCCATTTTAAGGTTGATATTCTTTTGATTGCGTCGGTTACTCCAGATCTACGGCGCAATTCTGTGTTGGGTATTCGGTCTCTCAGGGTTAATCCCAACATGGACCGTTCCATTGCCCTCTGTGTTGTTCGAATTTTGTTTGCGGACGTCTTAGTAAGTGTTAGCGTCTCCGCACCATAGGTTAGAACCGGCAGCACACATTGATCGAAGACTTTTCTCTTCAAGCAGATGGGAAGAGCTGATTGGAAAACATCTCTTAGCTTTCCATAAGCTGCCCATGTCAACCCTATTCTACGTATTAGTTTATTGGTCTGGTTATCTCTACTTAAGCGAATTTCGTATCCCAGATATTTGTATGCTGATGTTTGTTCTATACTTGTTCCAGCTATGTTGATGTTCTCACTCAGAACAAGGGTTGTCATCACTTGTGTTTTTGAGTTATTGATCTTTAAACCCACTTGTGTAGAGGCATGGTAGAGTCTTTCGCACATTTCGATGGCATGATCTATGCGGTCTGTTATCAGGACTATATCGTCCGCGAACCTGAGGTGACTAAGCTGCTCTCCATTTATGTTTATGCCCTTTTCGTCTAGGTTTGCACGCTTACACATGTATTCCAATAATGTTGTAAACAGTTTTGGTGAAATGGTGTCGCCCTGGCGAACTCCACGATGAATGTTGAACTTGTGTGTATCTTCATGGAGTCTGACGCATGCCGTGACATTATCATAGATATTTTTGATGACAGTGGTGTAGCGGTGATCTATTCGGCACTCCTTCAAAGCTTCCAGCATCTTCCGGTGGATTACTGTGTCGAATGCCTTCTCATAATCCACAAATATTAGGACGAGGGGTTTATTGTACTCTATACATTTTTCGATGAGGCTTTTAATAACTTGTAGATGGTCGTTTGTGCCGAAGCCTGACCTGAATCCTGCCTGTTCGCATGATTGGTAAAAGTCCATTTTGTTCGAAAGTCTGTTTGTTATGACTTTTGTAAAAAGCTTGTATATGTGTGAGATGAGGCTGATTGGTCTATAGTTTACGAGATTTGTTAAATCTCCTTTCTTAAACATTAGAATGATCACTGTCGAGTTAATACTTAAGTAATATGTTTATTTTAAAAATCCCCTTTTGTAATCAGCGTATCGTCTCTCCGGCTAAGGGCTTGTGAAAGCAATTAATTTTAATGACTTTCGTCTGAGAATGTAGGGTATTGAATTTCATATAGTATAAGAATATATTCAATTTGTTTAGAGTTAGTTTTTAGTCGAATTTAACCACCGAACCGGAGGAAACTGAATAAAACTTTTAAAGTCACATTTGTGTATTTTAATACGAAAGTAATTTTTGTAATAGAAATTTAATTTTGTATTCTTTCGAACCAGGAGTCTCTTGCGATAATTAATCGTAGGACATTCCAAACGTAACATTTGGCGACCGTGACAGGACTTATATACGGGTGTGCTTAAAAGTTAGTTATTTTCGTTTATTTTAGTGCAAACTTTTTTCCGGCGAATAATTTTGTTTTTGTCGTGAGGCTCGGCCAAAGTTAACCTTTTTAAGCGAAAAAATGGAATCAGTTAAAAAACGCAGAACGGTTCTTCGTAGTGCATTTACGAAAGTTGCTACTGTTTTGGACAGTTTGTTAGCTCAACCGGTGGACATTCGACCCTGGCAGAATATTAGCGTACAGTGGGAACTTTTACAAGTAAAGTACAATGAGCTTTGTGAAGTGGAAAGTGCGGTACTTGAAAGTATGTTGGAAGAAGCTTCCGAAGAAGAATTAATCAGTGAGATGGAGACAAAAGATAAATATAGTGCAAGGTACTTTGAACTTAAGTACAAATGTGATGACAGACCAGGTTCAGTAAGTTCAGAGTCATCAAGTATAAAAGGTAAGCGCAAATTTAAATTACCTCCAATCGAATTCAAGAAATTTAATGGAGACTTGAAAGATTGGCTTCCCTTTTGGTCACAGTTCAAAGTAGTGCATGACGATCCATCAATTGATTTGACTGATAAGATAGCTTATTTGAGACAAGCCACTGTAGAGTCTAGTAAGGCCAGACGATTAGTGGAGAGTTTTCCTGCAGTAGCCGACAATTACTCAAAAATTATCCAGAGTTTGCAGTCTAGGTTTGGCAGAGAGGATCTCCAGATTGAAGTTTATATTAGAGAGCTCTTAAAGTTAATTTTGAGTCGAGTTTCTAGTAGTTCTTGTAATATTTCTGCTCTTTATGATATGATTGAAAGTCAACTTCGTTCACTTGAGACCTTAGGCATAACTGCTGACAAGTATGCGGCGATATTGTATCCTCTTATCGAGTCATGTTTGCCAGAAGATATGATTCGACTATGGCATAGATCTTCACAGTTTTTAAGGCCTTATGTTTCCGGCGGGTCCATGGAAAATATCGCAGAAACGGCAGAGGTTACAACTTTAGAAACAAGATTGGATGGGCTAATGAGCTTTTTACAAAGTGAAGTTCAAAATGAACAAAAAATTGATTTAGCAACGGAAGGTTTTGGTTTACCGACTGAAAATAAATATAAATTTAATAACCTCGTTGCCAAGAAAACTGTAAAATTACATAAGCAAGGAACTGATCAGCCCTTAGCGACCGCTGCTGGGTTAGTAAACTATGAGGTTTACAGGTGTGTATTTTGTGAAGCGCAGCATGACAGTACAAATTGTTTTAAAGCACAAAAATTTACTATGGAGCAGAAACGTCGAACATTGTCAGAAAAGAAAGCATGTTTTCGATGTCTGAAAGTAGGACATTCTTCTAAAAAGTGTAGAGGACGTTTGAATTGTATATTATGTTGTAAATCACATGCTGTTTTGATGTGCCCTAATTTGCCTGTTAATAAAATTGATACATCGACCTCAAGTACTACCCGTTCGGAAGAAAATATAACTGAGGTTCAGACGCTTGCTAATTTGAATAATACACAGGTTTTTTTACAAACTCTGCGAATAAACATAAGAAGTGCACATGGTACTAAACAAGTAAGGGCACTTATTGACACTGGATCGCAAAGGACATATATTTTACAAAGTACCGCGCAAGAAATGGGTTTTTCTGCTAAAGGAACGGAAAAGATTGTACACGCATTATTTGGCGGTAGAAGCACTTCTGAACAACGACATAAATTGTACGAGGTAACTGCGTGTGAAGGAACCTACGCTTATTCATTTGATGCATTAGATCAACCAAAAATTTGTGCCGATGTCTCTTCTATTTATGACGGCCCTTGGATTGAGGAACTCAGTGACATGAATATTTCACTCAGCGATGTCGGAAAGACAACACCGATTGAGATTTTGTTAGGAGCTGATATTGTAGGCAAATTGTATACAGGGAGAAAATATCAGTTACAGTGTGGTCTTGTAGCAGTTGAAACTTTGTTAGGTTGGACTCTTATGGGTAAGGTGCCGGCAGTTGCTTCTAATTCTAGTACAAGTATGATTACATTTTCGTTGTTTGTTAATAATTCTTCTGTAGCGAAACTCTGGGAGCTTGATGTTATTGGGATAACCGACCCTGTAGAAAAAATGACACGAGAGGTGGCAGCCAAAGAGGCTAAGAATTTTTTCTATGAGACTGTACGATGTGACAGCGAAGGCAGGTATGAAGTTATGTTACCTTGGTTGAACGAGCATCCTTTAATTTCAGATAATTTAGTTGTTGCTAGGAGAAGGTTAGATAATACTTTAAATAAGTTGAAAAGGTCTAATTTGTTTGAAATGTATAACTTTATATTCAATGAGTGGTTGAGCGAGGGTGTGATTGAAATAGTGAATAATCCAGAAGAGAATAATTGTGTGCATTATTTACCTCACAGGCCCGTTATTAAAAATAATAGTGAAACCACAAAAATTAGGCCAGTCTTTGACGCATCATCTCATGAACAAGGTTGTCCTTCTTTAAATCAGTGTTTGGAGGTAGGGCCTAATCTTATTGAACTTATTCCTTCTGTTCTATTACGATTCAGACAACAAAGGGTAGGAGTTGTGTCGGATATTCGAAAGGCTTTTCTTCAAATTTCTATACATTCAAAGGACAGAGATTTTTTGAGGTTCCTATGGGTGAACGATGAAGGAAAGGAATTTGTATTTCGACACAAAAGGGTTGTTTTTGGAATCAATTGTAGTCCATTTCTTCTGGGTGCCACTATAGAGTTTCATTTAACAAAGGCCCTGGAGAAATGTTGTAATGATAATCCATATTCTAAAAACACAATTAAAAAGCTTATGACTGGGTTTTATGTGGATAATTGTGTGACCAGTGTTACTGATGAAAATGAGTTGAGAGTGTTTGTATCAGAAGCAACCGCCCTTATGGAGGAAGCTAAGATGGACTTAAGAGGGTGGGAGGCCTCTGGTAATACAAAAACAGTTGTTCCGGTTCTTGGTCTTCTCTGGGACTCTTCAAGAGACACTCTGAAAATCAATAGTGAAACTTTTCAAGAAATGGCATTGAAACGTCCCATAACTAAGAGACTGATGCTTTCCATAGCTCAGAGTATATTTGACCCTATTGGTTTTACCTGTCCCGTATCCCTATTTCCCAAACTGTTGCTACAGAAACTTTGGGAGAAGCGCCAGGGATGGGATGCTCCAGTCGAGAATGATATGGCTGAAGAATTTTGTGATTGGGTTACTCATCTTCCTGAACTGTCGAGTATTGAGATTCCACGCTGGATTGAGGCTGGACCGACGGAAGCTGATCATTGGAGCTTGCACATATTTTCAGATGCAAGTAAGAAAGCTTATGCGGCTGTAATATTTTTGAGAGTGGTTCGGAATGATGTTGTCTCAATTTTCCTTGTAGCAGCTAAGAGTCGTGTGGCCCTTTGAAGAAGATTTCTATACCTAGATTGGAACTGTTGGCAGCCACTATTGGTGTTAGACTTTATCAGTCAGTAAAAAGGCAATTTTCTCAATATGTTGAGTCTTATTTTTGGAGTGATTCCACTACTGTTCTTTCTTGGATTCAACGTAAGGATGACTGGTCTGTTTTTGTTTTTAATAGAGTTCAAGAGATTAGAAATTTAGTCAATCCTGAGTGTTGGAAATATGTACCTGGTTCTCTCAATCCTGCCGATCTCCCATCAAGAGGCTGTGGTGTTCGGCAATTGTTCGACTCTCGATGGTGGGAGGGCCCGGAATGGTTGTACAGAAAAGAAAATGATTGGCCCCAACAAAAATTAGAAGTTGATGAAGAAAAAGTCTGTACAGAGAAAAAGAAAAATGCCAGTTCGTCACTATTGAATATGACATCTGACGATTGGCATCTGTATTACTTTTCTCAGTACATAAAACTTTTAAGAATGATAGCTTGGGTGCTACGATTTTGTTATAATGCAAGAAATTCACACAAAAAACGTACAGGTGAATTGGTCGCTGAGGAAATCGATCAAGCCGAAATATTTGTATTGAAGCTAGTGCAGAACGAAGCGTTCGATTCAGATACGAAACGAATTTCCTCGCTAAACACGTTTGTCGATGAATTTGGACTTATACGTATAAAAACTCGCGTTACTGAGAGACTTGACACGGAAGATTTTCGTCTGCCTATCTTACTTCCGGGTGAACATTTTATAGTGCGTAAGTTAATTTTAAGCCTGCATAAAAGCTCTTGTCATGTAGGCACACAAGGACTACTTAGTTTGCTTCGCGAAAAATATTGGACTTTAGGGGGTAGACGGATTGTGCGGTCCATTTTAAAAGAATGTGGTGTGTGCAAGAGACAAGAAGGGAAATCGTTCAAAGTACAAACGCCTCCGTTGCCGGCTGATAGAGTTCGGGATACTACAGCTTTTGAAATTTCCGGAGTGGACTTAGCGGGACCTCTTTACTTGAAATCGGGAGAGAAAGCATGGATTTGTTTGTTCACTTGTGCCGTTTATCGTGCGGTTCATCTGGAACTCGTTACCTCGTTGTCAACAAATGCTTTTATTCAAGCCTTTCGTCGCTTTCTTGCAAGGCGAGGACGACCGAGAATAGTTTATAGTGACAATGGAACAAATTTTACGGGATTCGAGAATGCGCTTAAGCAATTGGACTGGAATACTATCGCGGAATATAGTTCTACACAACGTATTAAGTATCGTTTCAACCCCCCTACAGCTGCATGGTGGGGTGGATTTTGGGAACGATTAGTAGGTATTGTTAAAAGGCTTTTGCGAAAAGTTTTAGGTCGAGCGTCTCTCAATTATGAAGACTTATTGACATTATTGTGTGATTGTGAGAGTATAGTCAACTCGCGTCCGTTGACGTATCTTTCGGACGATTCTACTGAGTTAATCGCGTTAACCCCAAGTATGTTTTTAAAGGAACAAGTCAGTTACGAGTTGCCGGAATGTGATTTGCTAGAGCAGAATTCTCTCACACGCAAAATACGACGTTTACAAGAGTTGAGAAATCATTTGCGAAAAAGATTTCGTGCTGAATATCTGGCTCAACTCAAAGCAGGAACGAAGAAGCCGAAGGTATCTAAAGTGTCTATCGGGGATGTCGTTTTAGTCGGCAATGACAACATCAAGCGTCTTCAGTGGCCTTTAGGTAAAGTTATTGAACTTATACCTGGTAGGGATGGCCAGGTAAGATTAGTTCGTCTTGCGACTGCAGAAGGGCAACTTCTGAGACCATTACAAAGGCTTTACCCGGTGGAGATCGTCGATGCAGTTACTACTGGCGAGAATGTCCAAGGTAATACTCTACCTTGTGGAAGTTAGACGGTTCCAGAGAGGTTACCCCAAGAGAACGTTGGTCAACTCCAGTTTGAGGAAGAACCAAGTGAAAAAAGTGCGGGAGTGATAAAAAGCAGAGTACCCGACTTAAATGGAAGATATACGCGTTGTGGCCGGATGGTGAAAACTCCTTTAAGATTTAAGTAATATTTTCATGATTTTATTTTTTGTAACTCTCTTATTTTTTGAGAAATTATGTTAAATTTCTCAAGGTGGGAGTATGTCGAGTTAATACTTAAGTAATATGTTTATTTTAAAAATCCCCTTTTGTAATCAGCGTATCGTCTCTCCGGCTAAGGGCTTGTGAAAGCAATTAATTTTAATGACTTTCGTCTGAGAATGTAGGGTATTGAATTTCATATAGTATAAGAATATATTCAATTTGTTTAGAGTTAGTTTTTAGTCGAATTTATACCACCGAACCGAAGGAAACTGAATAAAACTTTTAAAGTCACATTTGTGTATTTTAATACGAAAGTAATTTTTGTAATAGAAATTTAATTTTGTATTCTTTCGAACCAGGAGTCTCTTGCGATAATTAATCGTAGGACATTCCAAACGTAACAATCACTGCATTTTGCCATTGTGATGGTGTTGTTCCTCTTTCAAGGCATTCTGTGAAAAGTATGGAAAGCATTTGTATCAGTTTCTCGCCTCCTAGTTTTATGGCTTCGGCAACGACCTCGTCGTCGCCAGGTGACTTAATATTTTTCATTTGTAGGAGAGCTTTTTTGATTTCATCAATTCTTTTTTGATTTTATTTTATTAATATGTTTTAAATATACTGGTTCCATTTTAAGTAGCTTCTAAACCAGTTCTAAAATCAGTTAATTAAAATTAAATGTCTGTAGTAAGGACAGGCTTCAATTGAATTTGAGTTTTACCATAACAAAATTTGTACCTAGCAGAGCACAGTTATAAAAAGTACTTACTTGTTCTACAAAAGAAAATTCTAATGGGGTTTCTTCAACACCAATCCCATCAGTCTGCTTAGGGCTAATCAAGCTTAAAACCTCAGTTTCTTCGTCACTGAGAGTGCTGGAACATGCTGGACCTCCTCCCGTCATATTTCTGTTTCGTTTTATAGTAGCATTTTTTGCTTTTGCATTTTTTTCATATCTTGCCATGTCTGTGAAAAAAAAAAAAAAAATCAGCTGCTGATTTCAATAATCGTACTTGTCACGATTGCATTTTATTATATAAAAAAAACTTACTTTTCTCCATTTTTTCCAATCTTTTGATTGACCATTTGAAACACTATTTAAGTTTAAGTTGCAGTAAATTGCCCCCTACTCAACTCTTCATGTTGCTCCATGAAACTAATTAATAATTTCTTTTGTGCCTCACACAACATTTTTTTTAATATATAGAGAGTTTTTAAGCCCCTTATTTCAGTAACGTTAAACGTTATACGTTATTCTGCTCATGCGCAATACCTGAATAATGACGGATAACTTTATTAGCGGATAAGGTATTCCGGTATTTAGGTAAAGATGAGGTTAACATTATTAAGGGATTACGTGTTTGTAATGTAAAATGCCAGATATTTAAATCATAAAAAACGTCATATGAGCAGAACCAAAGATAATTAGAATAAAAAATATAGTAATGATGTTTAAAATTCTAATCAAAATTCGTTTTTCTTAAATCGAAAATTTAGTTCAGCATATTTCTCTTCAATTGTTTCCAACACAAAATGTGGTCTTGGTGCAACAGATATTACAGGATCAAAAATATTATGAAAAATTAAGCCTTTTATTAAATTGTGATCTATTACTTGTCCGTGTCTTCGTCGTCTTAATATATTTTCAATATTTTCTTCCATTATAGCAAATAATTCAAATAAAATAGATTATAGAGTATACTATAACTGCCGTTTTATAGGTTACGTTCATCAAATGTCAATTAACGTTAATCTGTCATAGCTTAAATTCTGAAAGGATTTAAAACTATTTTGTAAAAACGTTATCCCTTATTTATTATTCAAGGTGCATGACAAGTATAACGTCTTACATTTAACGTCCATCAAAAAGTAAAGGGCCTAAAAACTCTCTTATAACTAAAATAAAAGTCCTTAAAAGAATAAAAGCGAGAATTGACAAGACAAGTGATACAACCACAGAATACTCCATCACAACGGAGTATTCTGTGATACAACTAACCTAACAGCAAAAACTTTGCTTCTTCATTTCGTTTGATCGTGAATATTGTTGTGGTTAGGCCTACAGTAGGTACATTTGAACTAAATAATAGGTCAAAGTTACTTGTTCGGTTTGGCAACGCTGGGTAAAATGTAGTAGACTCGCTGAATCATAGTGAATAGCACCATGTGAGCGATGACCGAGAGAGTACTCACACCGATGAGTTGTCGTGCACGAGCACTCTCACGAGTTGCAGAATAGGGACCCTGGCACTATGATCTGTCAAACGATTTGGCAATCTTACAATCACTTCTTCGTTACAAATGCTGGAGGCTCTTGACTAACTATAAACCTATGAAAGCACTTGCTTTTTAAAAAATTTCACGTTGTAGCCATCTACAACAACTTCTTCAATTCTGGCGGCATAATGTCCAAATACCTTACAAACCACGAAATTATTAATTCGAGGACTAGTAAGGTCCACATCCTGATCTTCATCATTTTCCAAAGCTAAATCTGAAGATGAGTCTTTGTAAATCACTTCTTATTCATGGGAAGAATACTTGCTCATTATTGTCCTCTTCACCATCTCTATTTTTTTATTAATTTGTGGTGTCTTTATTTTTAATTTCTTTCTGCAATTGCAATTATTTTTTTTTATTTTTTAGTTAATTTTCTTTCTAGAGCTTTCGGGTATCTTTCTATTTGGGATGGAGATAAGTAATCTTTTCTTGTGCTCTCTTTGAACTAGAGAGTCGAGCTGTGAAAATACAGAGAAGCTGAATTGCGGTGATACCTCCAAATTTTGATTTTAAAATTCACTTGATGAACAAAAATTTTGGGGTCTTTTGATATTTAAGGAACCATTCTACATGTTACAAACAATTCTTTTTCATCAAAAATATTTTTATTCAACGGCCAAATTTAAGTGCAACGAAATCCAGATTTTATGTTGGAAGGAGCAAATCGATTTCAAGCTTTCATACATATTGGTGCAAGGCCATAAATAGATGATACCTACCCTGGATGAGAGAGCATCCAGTCATCTTCTCCTTGATTAAAATATCTTCTAAATTGCCTAAAAACATTATATCTAATGATTGCAATTTGTTAGATGTGTGGGATAGAAGAGTTAGTATTGTAATTCCATTATCTTTGCAGTAATCAATCGCAGAAACAGATAAATGGGATTCATGATTATCCAATATTAAAATAATTTGGCGTTCTTTAGAATACAGAACGTGGGTTACAAAATGCCCTAAAACTTTTAAAAAATTGTCTCTTACTATATATACTCCATTTAGCATTCTATGTTTGTCAATTTTTTTCCTTGAAAACACCCACACTGATAGACGTGTTGTTCCATTCGGTCTAATAATACCCACTTGAGTAATAAGTTCTCTTCTCTCACGCGACGCTACTTTAAAAACTTGATGCTGACCTTTAGTAGCAACTACTATTTCAGTTTTTTAATCTGTGGTTACGCCTGTCTCGTTCAAATTGAATATGTCTGATCCAGTGAAGCTGTATCTTTTTTGAGTATCCTGTAACTTACCTTGAAATTTATTGACTGTAGATTTATAAAAACTGTCGTAAAAAGGATAGTTCAGATTGTCGAATTAAAAATCCTGTAAACTAGTCCTTCCCAGCTGATTTGTTTACTTTCCAAAGCTCTAGAAATTTGACTTCGTTTTTGGTTGCTTGGAAAGCAACCAAGGGTGGCTTCCATTTCATTAGAAAACACTTGGCATGTGACAAAATGTGGAAGGAATGTCATATGTTCAATTCCTACTTCTCTAGCTTTCTTTACGTATAACTAGTGTTGATTTTTTAACTTCATGCTGTTGATCGCTTTTTCTGATAGAAAACTTTCCAGATAAAACATCAGCTTGTGCCCTTCGTATCGCTTCTTCGGGAAATCATCCTTCGGTTAGTCGCTTACATTTATACTGCATGTTTTCTGTAACAATTTTATAAATTTGGGAGGGTTTGGACAATTATGGGAGGGTTTAAACAATTGTCCATACCCTCCATCAAGATCTTTATATATCGTAAAAATAACAACAAACTTTCATTATTTACGATTACCCAATAGTAATACTCAATCAGTATCCCAAAACAAACAAAACCAACTAATTAAAACACAGTTTAAAATTGCTAAATATTAGAACAACAGCATGGAAAATTTCGGAAATGGACTAACATCAAAACAAAGTAATCTGTCAGCTTGGCGTTTAGACAGATACTAAGAATACAGTAATGCAGTTTAAGTTATATTTGCTGTTACGCTTGTTGTCTAGTGGAATGGGAATTATGAATGGGAATGGGGAGTTGCCAATGCCTCCCGCTGTCCAAAGCCTCCCGGCGATCCCCTATCATGGACTGATAGAGTTTCTCTAGACAGCTCTAGAGATTTCGAAATGTGTTGAAAGGAACAGCCGAGCTCGTCAGGGTTACCGATATCACCATCGTCATCATTAAGACTGACGTCACGTGAACTATCCCTTAGAAAAATGGCTTACTTTTCGAAGGACTAGAATTGCTGGATCGACGTTTCCTTTTTCGGAAACTCACATAAACTGATGGAATCTCTGATGCTTCAGCAAGTTTGTGACCCGTTTTCGTGATCTTTTTTAAATCAGGACGCTGTGCAGAATGGGAAGAAGCAAACGCAAACCCAGGAATATATTTTGGATCAAAAATATAAATCCCAGTAGCTCGGAATCCAGCGGTGACATTAACTGGGGACGCTGCTTTTGGCCATACGTTGTTGAAGATTATTTTAAAGATCCATATATTAATTACTTGACTACTCCTGTTTTCTTCCCCTTGATTTGTCGACCAATGTAATTAAACTTGGGCTATATAATGAGAAATCAAGGTAGATACGAACTACTTCAATGTACTTTACAAGGTAAAATTGAAAGAAAAAGGGCCCCATGACGAAGAAGAATATCCTGGCTTGCTAACCTGAGAGCATGGTATATAAAAATTTCAACACAGCTATTTCGTATAGCAACCAACAAAGTTATTATAGCCAGAATGATCGCCAACGTTCGGAACGGACAGGCACCCTAAGAAGAAGAATCCCAATACGACTCGAATGGTTTAAATACTGACTTGTCTATAGGCTGTAGCTTATGAGTCGTATTGCTAGGTAAGTAGTACAGTCTATTACTGTGACCTTCAGCAACGTTACAAAAACCAAAAAAACCAAAAAATCAAAAAAAATGCTCCATCAAAAACCAAAAAAACTTCTCCTACAAGCTTGTGTTTGGCAAAATGATGTAGCCACTTGATAAAGGTCGATGTAGTCATTGAGCTACTGTCTGTCATTTCTATCGCTTCTCTAGGTGAGAAATAATCTTCCCATTCTGTTGTGTATCACTTTGCTATGAAAATGACCATTGGAAGGATAACCTGTCTAATTGAATTTCCTTATGACATGATAAATAGATTTTCCCCACGTTCAGGAGCAACAAAGTGTAGCACCTTTCTTTGATAAACTTTAAGGTCTAATGCCTCTTATTCGGTCATGATATTTTTTAGTTTCTGAAAATGATCATCGACAATAAACTCATTTAATTTTGCAGTTCTTTCTAGATTCATACGTTGCGCCTTTCTTCTGGCAACCTCTGGGTTCTTCAGTAGGAATAACTTGAGTCATTTTCGCCCAGCCAAACATTTTGCCTCATTGAACGGATTTTGCAAATTATTTTTTTCGCATAACACAAATACACAGCGTCGAAGAACTTTAGCTGTAACTCGATACCCAACTTTAGCAAGCCGAAAAATTATTTGAGAAAGTTCTCTTTCTTAAGCTTCTTCCAAGCAAGGTTTCCATCCTAACTTCTTGGTTGCTGCACCGGTACTTACGTGGTTACGTAAAGCATACATAGGGATTGCGTAAGTTTTGGACGAAGTTCTGATGAATGAAGTGACTGACATACCTTCATCAACAGCTTCCATCGTTTTTTTTAAATCATCCTTACTCCAGATTGCACGTTGTTTCTTTGAATCCATCTAAAAAAATTCAATAAAACAATACACCCGTACTCCTGAATTGTGTGTTTACGTTTATAG